CTTTTAATAAGCTCATCTAAACGGGCCCTAAACCTTTGTTATTTTAATTGTTACTATTTTTTTTATTTCTTAGGACAGGTGAAAGAATTTGGCCTAAGACCCAATAAAAATCAGATTTCTAGAACAGGTGCAAGTAGCTCAAATGGGCCATAAACCTAAAACAAGATTCGACCCAAATACTAATTCAGACGAACAGAAAACCAGACTTGCATTATTCGCATGCTTATCTGTTTAATTAGTATTAAGGTTGTTACAATTCAATTGTCCTAATAAGCCATTCCAATTTGATTTTCTAAAATATTAAGCAAGCATTCTTTTCACTTGATTTTGAAAATATATTTGCAAAAAGATAACTAACGTAAGTAGTATCTTATTTTTCATTTTCCCCTTGAGATTATTTTAAACTTTTAAAATTGTTTATTCTCCAAAATATGTTTAAACTATTTTAGTCAAATAAGTTAATTATAGATAATTGTATGTTAGCAAATGTTCTAGGTGCTTTGAAGTCCTTCCTAGAACATTAATATGAACCACTTAAAGTTTTCAATTTATTTACTGTTTAATCTTTTGAAAAAAAAATTCTTGATTTTTTTTAAAAATTAAGTGGCGACTCTAAATCATTTTAGTCTAAAACTAATAAACTAGTATTTTTTTTCCAAATAAAACAATGGGTAGGAGGTGAGGTGCTTTTCTTTTTTAAAAAAAGTGTAAATGAATGAAGAAAAATATCTTAAAGTTAATTATAATGTCAAGTGTCAATAAAAGAAGAAAAAATGTAAAAAAAAATAATTTTAAAAATACTATTTTGAGTCTTTTCAAGCGCTTCAAGTAAGTGCAAAATATATTTTTTTGTCATATCGACATTTTGTGTTTAATAGGTACATAACTCAAACAATTTAAGTATTCAATAGGTACAAACCTTAGTTGAGTTGTCTAACTGAATTATGCGGATAGCTTTGAGGGGTATCTTGATAGTTATAGCAACCACTGCTTCAACCATCCGGTCACGTGAGTCGTAGGGTGTTTTCCTTCAACCTTTGTCAGTTGTCACCTCCACCTGTGGTAGAGGTGTGATTGTCATTTTCAGTCCGTTCACACTCCTAGGTACAGTCCGCATGTACTTGGTTGTTGGGCAATGGGTGTCTTTGCAGTTGTCATCTTCTCACGGCCAGAGTCGGATTTAGGTGAGGTTCATGAATTCGAATATACCCAATAACTTTTTCATAAACTCTCTATATATATATATTATTTTATAAATCTCAAACAAAATTAATTAATAATTATAAATGAAATTTAAAATGCCTAAACTCATAATCCTAGCTTCACCTCTTGTCATCTTTGGTCGTCCTCAAGCCATTCCAACAACGGTGGCTACGTAGCTTCACTTCTAGTACGCACCTTAGTGAAATGACTTAATGTGCGTTGAGAGAGTTTTAATAAAAAATTATTTACACGTATGACTATTAAATGCCAATTCTTTGACTTTTATTTACAAAATAATTATTTGGCTAAAACATGTTAATCCAATCAAAGAATTACATGCATGTGCCAATTCCTCAATTATTATCATTTTATCAAAAACAAAAGCCTTGCTGTTCAGCCCAATATTTTGGGAGTACAAAAAAAATAATATCGAATTTGGTTAACCCCTTAAATTTTATTTTAATTTCAAGTGAACTAAAGAAACGGACGAAAGTAACGTGAATAAACTAAATTTTGCAGTTCCCACAACATAGGGTGAAAAACCTATTGTCCAATGTAATATTTTAGGGGCATGCCCCCTTTTAGTGCAATATCTTGAAAATTACACTCTCTAGGCACCAAACTCGCACTTATAGTCCCTCACGTTTGCAAGGTTCATTTAATATCCCCATTTTTCAAATATTGATTTTATCCACGTGTTAGTGTATAGAATGTTTAGCCACCTTCCTCTATGTTAAGGTAGAAACAAGAAAAGAAGATTGCTCCTTCGCTTGTTCAATCCAAACATCATCATAACTTAATCAAAATCTTTGTTTATTTTTCAAACTAAATTAATCTAATGAAAATAAATGGCATTGCAGAAAAGAAAATTTGGTATTGTTCCATGTGAAATCGAACAAAAAAAAAAGATTGAGAACAAACCATAAACATGAAGGATTATTAGTTCCTTTTCAGCAGCTTATCAAACCCAAAAAAAAAAAACAAAGAATGAAAGAGCACAATATGATCATACAAGATCAATATGACGTTTTGTTGGAACATAAAACGGTTCCATGTTGCTTTTCTGTCCACATGTGCAATATAAAAAGGACAGGAAAATGAAATAAAAGAGAAACTTACCTCCGCAAAATTTAGTACTAATAGGGGTCAGCAAGATATCAAGTTTTTCATTTTTTCCCAAGAATGAATATTTTCTAGACGGTTCCAAATCAATTCTCATTTCACATAATCTATACAACGACATACGGAAAACTTCATGAATACTCATCCAAACCCTTGCTTTATGTTTTAGTACTGTGCTTCTTCAAAACAAGCCTTTTATTCAATGAAAGGTAAGGGAACACAGTTAAAATTTGTAAACCATGTTCTCTGTAAAGCCCACATCCTTGAGTAGTCCAGTTAGCTGTGATAAAGGAAGCATAAATATCATTAGAGGCAACCACAGAATACTAACAAATAGAAAATTAAATTCTTTTCGCTCTATGGAATAAAATACCTCGCCTTGCTCACGAGGATTTGGCTTTTCCCCAGATAAATGTCTTATCATCCCAGGAGGACCACATACCTGGGAGACCAACAGAAAGTTCCAATGATTCCCATAATAAATCTCGAGTCATTTCATAACAAATTCAGAAAATCAGTAATCGTTCTTGCACTGCATCATTCTTGTTGTGTACCACGTATTGTTTGTCCTAACCCAGTTACTCAACAACACCAACTATTCAATAACAGTACCCCCACCCCCACCCCACAATTGTCATAAACAGCAAAATACTACAATACTAAACAAACGACCAGCTACGATTATTCAAGTTACCACTTATACTGGAGTACCTCGAGTGTTGCATATGATTTCTATAGTGACAATCAGGCCACCAAATTAGTTTTGAACAAACAGTTTAGTTCAACCTTCGTTTCTTCTTTGCATCAGCACCCTGTTTTAGTTGTTAGATATTACTGATGTCAGAATGTTAATTGCATGAGTCCTTTCCATAGAATTCTATGTTCTATACAATCTGTAATTAGTATCACTGGGAGTACGACAAAATGAATGAAATATCTATTTTCTCTTCATTCTTCTTTTCCAAATCCCTTCTTACTCATCTCCATCTCTTCTGTAAGTTTAGCCCTGTTGAGGTGCAATCATGCCAAATGGTATTAGTCAATGTTCCTCTATTTCACATTCATTGCTAGGCTTGGCAACAAGTTGAGCCAACATGGGGTTTGGCTCATCTCAGCTTCCATCAAAATTTGACTCGACTTGGCTCGGTTTGGTCAAAAGTTCGCTCTGATCAAGCTAGGCTAGATTCAACTCAGTTGGCTTGCTCCAGTCATGTAATGATTATTTTTAAATAAAATATCATCCATTAAGCTTAAAGAAATTAGCAATACGTCAATTTAACAATTATTAGTAATTTAATAAATTTATAATCTTGTACTTCATTAATTAATTTGATGTAATCAAACTTTTTATGCATATTGTTATATAACACACTACTATATGGGTGGTGCAAAGTGTAAAAAGAATAGGAATTAAAATCAATGAGACTTAATATCATACAATTTTTTCTGAATTAAAATTGTTGCTTCTTTTTTTCTGCCTTAAGCTATATTCTATGTTCAATTTTAAGTTAACCTCATTTGAATTTGAGTTCTAATTTAAATTAATAATGTAAATAATTTAATGACACCTGAATGCATTTATAAATTTAAACTAGCAATATTATATTTCTTCATTTTTTTTTAAAAAAAAAAAGAAGGTTAACATTTCATAGATAGCACTTACACCAATGGTGTATTTCGGTTGAAAGATATCTTTCATTCTTCTGAAATAGGAACCTATCCAATCTTGTCGTTGTGACATGCCGATCCCCTTTTCTCCAAGTAAAGTTGCCACATCTGAGTGGTGGGTCTTCCAATTCCATATCCTCAATATAATCTGAAAAATCCTCCATAGCATTGGTGAATCTGTTACAGTTCTTCTCAGAAAGGAACCTCACAACATTAAAATCCCCAACAATCCCCAAGGGCCATTAAATAGGCTCCTTCCTCCCAGCTCCCACCATACCTCGTCCCTTTCCTCTTTGTTATTTGGAGCATAGACAAATGAGAAGTGCCAGCTGAAATCCTGTGTCTTGCCCTAAATCTTTCAGTAGAATATATTTCTTTTAATAAAAAAAATTTAATTATGAATTTAATTACTTCAACAGCATAGCACACTACAAGTAACTACACAATAGAGTCAACTAGGGCTTGAGCTTGGCTATACTTTGACAAAGCTTGACTGAGCTCAGCTCGACTCGGTGATTTAAGAAGCTCGGTTGAGCTCGGATCGACTTGGTATTGTAAGAAGCTCGGTTGGGCTACGCTTAGGCTCGACACACGGGCCTATTCACAAACTATGCTAGTTTTCTCGCACATTTTAGCTATTGTCAATTTAAAACATATATTTTCCGAGTCAATTTTTCTAAAATGCCTTCCTTCCGCATTCATTACCTTTGGTACAACTCTATGCACATTGAACCGATGAATATGCTTTATGTCTACAATGTTTCTCATGAGATTGTTGGTGCTCGATTTTCTCTAAAAGCCATCAAGAACTAATAATGTTTAAAGGAGCATGGGACTATACTTCAATGTCCATACAACGTACCCGGTGAAATCCCACTAAATGGTGTCTAGGGAGGGTGGAGTGTATGCAGACCTCACCACTATCTCGTATAGGTAGAGAGGTTGTTTTGGAAAGACCCTCGATTCAAGTGCATCAAACCCAAGTAAAAGATGATTTCAAGGTCCATAACATGTTTAAATAGATATTTACAATGAGACAAGGACTTGGGAGATTGAAGATGTACAATGAAGTACAATAACACGGCAAAAGGAGCGAGGGCTTTCAAACAAGAATCTTGGTTGATCACACCATCTTCTTGAATTCATCTAGTGGGTCTTGTTTTAGCTTTGAGTCATATCTGTACAACCAAATATAACCGTTAGCATATATAATTTTCTTAAGGTCTAAGCTAATTAGTCTATGGAAGATGTTGATGAAAATTTTGTGAAATATGAGAATTCTTATGTTTACTATGGAACCTCTCTTGAATTCTTCAAATAATTCAAGTATGAGTTCAACATTTCGTCTCCCTTAGGTTGAATTGCCATTTCATAGGTCTAAAGTTTGATACACTTGTGCTTAACTAGGAGCGGTAGGATTAGGAGGATATCCGCCAGTAGATCCGCCCCATACAACAAAGCCGATCCAACCACCACTCTTTAGGACTCACCTATAAGTTTTGATGGTACTCTCTTGTCACACAAGATGTTGGATGCAAGCCTTTTTTTCATCCATGTCGCACCAATATGATCTATGACATCATCATTGATCTCCCCATTTCCTTGGATCAAGGAGCCCAGATACTAAAATCTCTCTTGGAGAGGATTTGTGTATCAAGTATCACTTCCACGTCTGCCTCATGCGTCAAACTACAGAATTTACACTCCAAATACTCTGTCTTGTTCAACTCAACCTGAACCCTTAAAGACTCCAAAGCCTGTCTCCATAACTCATACAGGATCTTCATCAACAAAATCATCCCAAAAGCTAATGAACTAAAACCAGAAGGCTATTTATAGTAAGGGTTACATTGGGGTCTACAGAAATTACCCATATCCCCCCCCCCCAAAAGCCAAACCTAGACATAAATAGAATTCAAGAAGATGATGCCAAAAGTCAAGGCTCTTGTGTGGTCGTCGTCTTCTCCTTCGGCAACCCTCTTTACTCCTTTGTGCATATTTATTCTCTTAATTTGGTCTACTCATTGTAGATATCCATTTAAGCATGTTAATGACTTTTGAAAGCTTCATTCAATGCTCCTTTAATGCACTCCAAGTTCATGGTGATCTATATGTCAACCGGGGTATGTCAGATACTCCAAAATACTGCATTTTGGAGAATCCGACGCAGATGCGGCAAGAATTTTGGGATAGTCCAAGAAACATAGTTGATGATTAGAAGAAAGCTTTCAAGTCCTAAGTAGCCATTTTGGGTGCAATCAATTGTGTTCTCAATGTTGAAGAAAAAAACTTGATCAGTCAGTACGTAGTCCTTGACCAGATAGCAAAAAACAAATGACTAAGCATGAATATGTCATACAAGAAATTGAACAGCTTGGCCTTGGAGGCACTGACAATTTCACCTCTTTCAGAAAACTTACAAGAATAAGTGTATCATCACCAGGCGGAGGTAATCCTTTCACAATCATGTTCTTTGATACGTAACCTATGCCGCCTCTCCAATCATTGGTTGGATTGTCTACAGTGTAAAACACCTGGATATTCCATAGAGCACATGTTGGTTTAATCAGGAAAGAGAGGGCCGAAGAACAATATTTTGTATTAAACTTTGCAACTACCTTGAGATTCGGATGGGTGGCTGCAAGTACATCAAGTTTCTTCTTTAGCAGTATGTCATCAGGTGACAAATTAGCATAAACCAATGAGACCTGAAAAGTAAAAAAAGGCCCATGAGTGTTCGTTTACATGTTATTAAGGGAAAACTAGCTAAGACACATCAGGGGCAAATGCTGCCAGGAAATTACATCTTGCTACTGGGTGGAATTTGGTCAGTTAAGTTAGACTTGGTCAGTTAGGTTGGATTTGAATTAATCAAGTTCAATTTAATAAGTTCACTCAATAGATTACTGAACCGATATAGAATCAATTGCTTTTCAGTTTAACTTCTTTGGACATAATTGGTTGCTTCATATTACAAACTTTATTTGCCTAAAATTTGTAGAAATTAACTGCCCCACCTTCACTACTTAATTACAATACTTAAATGGCAGATTTAATAATTATTTAGAATATATAAATAGGAATTTTTTGTAAAGCGAAAGTTCTTTTCGAATTAGAACCCGAAAAAGCAAAATCTTGAAAGTGAAAAAACCAACAGAAACTGAAAGACTTCCAATCCAGTTGGTTCACTTGGTAAGTTCCAAAGTGATGCATAACCCTATGATACTGACTTGTGGTTGTGGATGACAGCACAAAAATATTGGATCAAATCAATACCTGAGTATTATCATCAGGATTCTTAAGAATGGCCTCTATCACCTGGAGCATAGGAGTGATGCCACTGCCCCCCGCAATCTGTCATAGGAAGAATGAGTTTGAGTTCTATTATATTTAAGACCAGATACACATGAATAGATGCACAGCACACGATTCAGCCCTAATCGATATCTGATAGAAATGTCTACTGAGAATTGTAAGTAAACTGTACTAGGTAACCTAGTTAAACCTGATAAAGCTAAATAACACCTACATATTTCAATCAAAAGAACCTAATGCTCATATTCATAACACAAGCTTTATCAAGCAGAGATCCCAGATTTCTGGATATTGTCAAGTCGTCAAACATGATGATTCACAGGTAATGTTGACTTCTGCTAACGACAAGCAGCGTATAACTAGACTTAACAAATAGTTCTTTAGAATAGGTTCATACAGGCACCCCCGTTGTCGACAAAAATAAAAGGTTACTATCAACAGGAATTGTTTTTTTCTGAATTCTCATCAACAGCTCAATTTGTTGATAAGGTATAGTGATAAAAGTATTAGCCATTAAAGACATGATCTACACAACCTGCCCAACTTTTGGCGGGTTAATGACCCACTAGTTTTTTTAGCTTAGCCCATTGTGACCCGCTCAATTCAGCTCATCCAAAAATTGGGCAGATATGTAGCCTTAATCAACCGATGAGGAATCTCTGCTAACATTTTATAGACTTTTCTTTTGTTTCATATGTTATATAAAGCCATAATATAGAAAGGGGGGGGGGGGGGTTATATTAAGCAAATACAAAGAAAACAAACAAAGAAATTATATCTTGGTGAGTGTTCAGCGCAATGGATTAAGACCCATCGTTCGGTCCATTTATACCCAAGTAACCTTAGGGCGGGTTATTGACCAGCCCATTTATTTACTTAAGACCATTTGACCCAGCCAAATTTAGCCCAATTCATCCATTTGAGTCCCCTAATAAAGTAACATCACCAGTTAACAACTATGAGCAGATTAACTTGGTGTACATGTACCGAAGTTGCACCAAGCACATAAATTAATACCATCTAACCAATATTAAATCTTCTGTTTCTTTTTTATTTTTTGGGTTTTATACTCACAGTTACGTTTTTCTGTTTGTATGGAAGATCAATTCCTCTTCTTCACAAGTTTCACATCTCTTGTAATAAGCATGAGTTCTATGTTTTGATGACATCATTTTTAATGAATGTGGCCTAAATGATGCCATTTATTCAAAGTTGGGCAGAATATGAACATGAATAATATGCCTTCCAACGCTTTCAACTTTTATTAAGTACAGTGTTTTCTTTGGTGTTTTGCCTTTGTTAACAAGCATAATGAAGGGGAGGAAACAGCAGAAATGAGTCTTATCCAATTGAAAGCTCTAAATCTGCCAAGTACTCTGCTTGCACAAAATTCATCCCAGCAAAGTGAGTTATATCTACATAACTTCCTAATCTTACCACCAGACTGAAGAAAGAAGATAATTCCTAATTTTACCATGAATCAAGAGTTTCAACATGATCATATTGTACTCTTTTTAAATAGCAGTGTCACAGAGAACACTTAGATGCAAGCTCTTACCATGCCTATATGTTTCTTCATGTTTGAACTGTAATGCAATTTCTCAATGGGCCTGCACAAATTGAACGCCATTATTGACTCGTAAAGTAGAAAAAACGATAAAGTAACAAAAGGAAGATCTCTGCTAGAATGTACTAAGTTGTATCACAGACCCTTTTACTTGAAGTATATCCCCCGGCTTCAGTTTTGCAAAATGCTGGCTCATTTTCCCTTCTGGATAAACCTACAATAATTACATAGTTTCCAAGAAACATTGTACAAGAAAAGCAAGTTAATGAGCATGTTTTGGCGAGTTAGATCAACAGTGAGGTAAACTAAGTAGAAAAACTCAAAGCATACCTTAATTAACAAATCAAAGTATCCCTTGGCTTCTGGATCAGATATAGGAGTGTAACTGAAAACAGGAACATACTTGCTCAATTTAGAGCATCTTGTAGTATTCCAAAAATATGAAGGGGCATTCAAGAGAAGATTTTGCCCATTCAAGAGAAGAGATGAACTCTCTTGACACAGATTAAAATAGAAAATAGGTACACAAAAGAGGGGATAATGGAATAGGAGAAAAGCTTATGGATGTTTCTTTTAATTAACTTGATATCATAGTACACAAGGGTGGTGGCTTAGTAGTCAATAAAAAAGGAATTGACCATGGAAGACCAAGATTCAAACCCTTGGTGGTAAAGTCACCCAGTACTTCTATGGGTATAAGGTAGTAGATAATCAGTGAAATAGTGTAGGTGCAGGCAAGCTAGTCTAGACACTATTGCCATAGAAAGACTAAGTGGAAAGCATATCATCTGAAAAGAGTTACGTCCTCTCCCAATCAAAGATGTAACCCTTTTCACTTTTTATTAGAGAAAAGATAAATTTTGGTAATTAGAGTTATTATCTACATCAATGTAAGGAAGTAAAGAAGGCTTTAAGTTCATACAGCTGAAAAGAACTTAATTAGCATTCAAATGGATAAAATAGTAGAACTGTGAAAAGAAGAGAAAATGTTAGGATAAACTGCTTGATTTTTCCCTCAAAAATGATTACGGTTTAAATAGTGTCGTCCATGTGTTCTTTTTTCCTAATACTGTTGTGTCGGGGCCAGCTTGCGGCGCACCTCGATCAATTCCACGGGATACCTACCACCTACCACCAGCAACAAGAACCAGTTTACTCTATCCACCAATGCTAGCACAAATGGGAAGAGATCACCAAGTGTTTCGTCTCTGCAGGGATTTGAACCTAAAGCTAAAAACTCATGGTGCTCAACTCATTTCATTTACCACAAGGCCATACACTTGTGTGTTGACGTCCACATGTTCTGATTACATCATAATTACCGGAAGAGCAACAATCTAAATGATCCTAACTGATGTATACTATTACAAGATCCTAACCATATTCACAAGATACTAACAAGAACTAAACATGAAAAGGGAAAAGGCTAAGAAAGAGAAATTATAAAAGTGAAACTTACGGCCGAATGGCATATTTTGGTTTTCCTTCAGCATTTTCTCCCATTGGTGCCCTAAATGAAAAAGTGTATCAGTATGATAGAATGTCAGAGTAAGAAACCATATTCTCATAATTCTTTTGATGAAGCCTATATTCCCATAATTCTTGTAACACAGCTTCCAAACTTTCTTAAGTTACAAGCACACGATGGAAATTATATTTAAATATATTGGAACTTACCTCGTAAGAATGCAAGATGCAATATCAAGACCTAACTTTGAAGAAGGATCAAATGAAAACCTAAAATATTGGAGGAAAGAAAGAGTAGATCAATATCGTAATCAAACAATGCAGTATTGAGTCATTGACTGCTCGCTGTATACCTGAAAATTACAATACTTAAAGGGGATTCTCAGTAATATAACCAAATAACAGACTCAACTTTGGAGGCTTAAGTCTAACTACCATCTAAGATTTGGATACAGGAGAACTTTGTTAATAACTGCAGTCCAAAGTCTACCCAATTTTAACATAAAAGTCCAAAATGATCTATTTAGTGACTAACACAACAAATGAAAATGAAAGCAAAATTACATAGAAATCCAATTATCTCAAAAAAGCAGCAGAGACAAGCAACGGAAACCAAAGTAGAGGCTTTATTTTTCTAACAAAAACACTAGCATGGTCTAAATATTAGTTATAGTAATCCCCCTCCCATAAATCCAAAAAAAGACTAGAAAGGAATATTAAAGTTGACCACATTGCCCTCAAAATGTTAAGTGACCTTAATAACCTTTCATCATATATACATTATTCCATCAACGCATGATGAATATTAATTTTCTCATAATGTTGCTATGTATTTTTCACTAATACATTAATTATAAAAATAACTACTTAGGGGTCGTTTGTTAGGCTGCATTAAAAGAAATAATACATGTATATGGTATAATTTAATACTATATTTGGTAGGAATTTGAGCCTATGTATAACTAATCCATGGATTAGTTGTACATCCTACATGGTCTTATAGGAAGCATAACTAATACCTTCCATTTGGAGGTATTAGTAATACATAGGATAAATACCATGGGATAAATCATATAAAGACAAATATCCCTCAAATTTTTTTAATTTTTTTTCTTCATTTTCTTAATTTTATGTTTTATATTTGTACTAGTAAATTTATTCAAACAAATTAGGTCACAAATTATTTAGAGAGAGTTATTTATTACTAAATATATCTATATCTAATTCAACTCAATACAAATTTGAAATGTGAGTTATTTAATATTTACTAATTAAAAGACAAATATATCACTAATTATTCGTATTTTGAACAATTTAAAGAAATGCATACATATTAAAACTATAACTTGCAATTTTTATGTGTAAATGTAGATGGTTTATTCAATTTTACCGTTGTTGACCATCTTTACAATTTTAAAAGTAGTTAATTAATCTTTTTTAAATTTAAAATTGACATTTTATGAGTGATCAATTTATTAAGATGAAAATACTTATCCTCAAATAATTCAAGTAGAAAATTGGAAACATGACAACAAAATTATTCTTCTCGTAGCTAGTTAGAATGCCATAAAAAAATATTTACCGATAATTATCTACTTTGACACAATAACATAATAATTTAAGGGTATAATTGGAAAGGAGATTCTTAAAAAATTTGAATACAATCACAAGTTGGGATTGTAAACAATGAACCAAACACTTGATAAAAATAAACCCTACTTTACTAATCCCTGCACTACTAATCCATGTCTTATTTAATTCCTGCATTACTAATCCATGTGTTATTCATTTTGTACCAAACAACCCCTTAATATTTTGTTTTCTTGCAAACATTTAGTACTCTTTGAATTAGAATCTACATTCATTTAGTTGTTTGCTTTGGGATATTCAAATGGAATACTAACAGTTATATTTATAGACAAAAAGATCAAACCCACTAAAAAGCAGATCTCAAAGTAGTAGTGAATGAAGGCAACAGGAGGGAATTAATTCTTGATATGCTTATAATCCTATATTTAGTTACGCCAAACTCTTGCTCTCTATCATTTCATCTCTGTATTTCTTTTGTGATAGGTGGACAACTGGAACATGAGAGCAGTATAAGAGCCCTTGAACCCATCAAAACAAAGTGCTTCAGTTATTACAAGATTATATTTCAGTCGCAAAATGATTTAAACAAAGATCAGATTGAAAGTCATACGGTTAAAGAATGAGGGTTCACTTAAATATATAGAAGAAGCTGCCAGGACCAACTCTATCACCAATGGGCTAAATTGTCTACTATTGAATCGTAGTCATCAAATATAATTTCCACTTTGGAATCTGATTTTTTGTCAAATTGTTCAAATCAAGTTGGTCTATATTGATCAGATATCTATTCCAACTCCGCAAATACTCTCATATAGCAACGAACATAAGAGCATCACTGCATTTGCTCTCCGCTCATAGTTCAAAAGTTAGAGATGGAATTATAATAGACGGAAGATACCGTAGTGTTGATGAATCTATAAGCCTTTTACCATTGAAGTTATTTCCAGCAAGGTATTAGGATTAAGAGTTGTAACAGAGGAAGTAGGACTTATCTAAGGTAATTATTAAAATGAGAAAGATAAATTTGAGTTGTTGAAGAAATTCATATGTCGTCCAATTATTTTAGATTTTATCATATTCTGCTATAAGTATATCTTTTATGAATGTCAATAAGCTAGCTTAAATGTCACCAGATATTTGTTCATTTTGTTGCTTCTCTTTAAACTTTCTTGAATCACAACCTAATGCATAAAGAGCTCATGTACACTTTGACTAATTAAATTGGACATTTATTTTACCTCCCTTTAAGAAAATACCTCCACTCTCCGCAATATTTCACATCGTACGTAATTTGTTAGTCGAAGGAAGAAGCATGAGCAAAACAGTATGGCCATGTTATATGCCACTTGAACAACATAAGCATTTATTGCAAAGAAGCTTAAACATTGCTTCACACTATCATAATTGTGGTGTTCTTCATGTTAAAGATTTTTTTCCATCTTTTTCTGTAGTCTTGTTACAATCTAGCTTGCCATTTCAAGTTGTTTCGTCAAAAGAATCTTCTGGTCATAGAGGATCAAAATACTAGTGGGAGAAATGTAAGTGCCCATTTGGATTGACTTATTTTAGGTGCTTTTAAGCCAAAATAGCTTTTAAGCGGTTTTGAAGTGTTAGGGTAAAGTTAAAAAGTGCTTATAAGCACTTATTTTAAAGTCACAATAACAAAAATAAGCCAAAAGCCATATAGTTAGAAACCCTAACTTATGGCTTTTGGCTTATAAGTCATAAGCCAAAAGCCAATCCAAACAGGCCCGAAATCCATATATCAGAATCACAACAAGACATCTGAGAACTTCTTTTGAAAAGGGTTTAACTAGATAAGTTGAATAGGATGTTAAAAATTGCTTGTTACTGCTGATTAGCCAGAGTAATAAATAGTTTAGTTGTAGGAGTCGTCATTGTTTAAATTCAATTCAGTTAGAAAAGATCCGTTGAGATATTTTAGGTTTTGAATTTTAAAATATGCAGATTTTTTGTCTTAAATTGGCTATTTAAAGCCCTCTATGCTTAATAAGATTCTACAAAGATAATTTCAGTCACATCATTTTTGCTGCTCCAGCATCTTTAAAAAAACAATAGCAGTATCAAGAGTCTCATTAGTCTTACCACATCTATGAATTCATCTACAGAACCATATTCAAACTATTTTTAACCAATACCAGTTTTTAACCTATTTAACAATTATTAACTTTTAACTTATTTCTCAAACATGCCAAGCAGTCATCTCTTTTTGAAAGCCTCGTTAATTTTCATTGATGAGAACTATCAAATTTGGTCACCAAAATTGAAATCAAATCCCGACAAACGATTTATAGGATATTGTGATGGAAAAAAAATTCTTCCAACAATTTTTTGCGAATCATATAATTGTCCAGATTAAAACACTTTCAGAAAAACTTTCAAACAAGATAAGGTTATTGAGGATTTTTGTGAACAAAACCAAAAGAAAAAAGAAGAAAGAGTCATGTTAAGAAAAGTGTGCAAGTTCAAAAGCAGTCAAAAAGAATTCATCATCAACAGCCAAAGTAGAAATTGAAGAGAAACAGTTTTTTCAAATTGCAGCAAATAAAGCAAAGGAGTGTTGAAAATTGCTTCTGTTACTCTTGATTTACCATAATAATAAGTAGTTTAGTTGTAGGGGTCGTCTTTGTTTAAATTCATTCAAATTAGTTAGATAAGATCAGTTGAGATATTTTAGGTTTTTGAATTTTAAAATATGCAGATTTTTTGTATTTAAGTTGGCTATTTAAAGCCCTCTATGCTTAATAAAAATTATAGAAAGACAATTTCCATCGCTTATATTATTTCTCCTGCTCAACATAGGACATACAGATACCAATTTTTAAAATTGACAATTTTATTTTATTTCATATATAAGCAACACCGGTTTTAATGATGTTTATATGATTACTAGTACTGGCTACACCCATTGCCATATATACTATGTTGCTTAGGCTCTTCAAATTGGAGAATCCGATACAGGTGCGGCATCAAAATTGAAGAGTCCTTGCAACTTAGCAAAAATATATATCCACCCTAGTTACCATGCATTTCTATGAGTTAGGATCTAGTTTATTAAAGTCAGCAACCCAGAGCCAATCTAAAATATCATTTCATTGAGTTATATGTACCAGAACATCAGAGGCAGAATTACCTTATGAATTCTATTCCCAAAAGTTGAATCCACACATTTAACCACCTTCGGTAGATACAAATGGGCTAGAAAGTTCTATTTACTATGAGGTAATTGGTGTAAGATCACTGATCCAATAGTAAAAGTGGTAGAATAAACTCAAATTGCCAACAGAATTTTCAAACCAAACAGACCAGGTTTAGTTCACAGGGAGGGTCCTTATTGAATGAGTAGTGTCACTACTAAAGCGTCAAAGCCATAATTATAAACTAACAAAGAAAGAAAAAAATTACCTGAATAGATGACTATTGTGGCTAACTGGAGCTCGATCTTGCAGCTTAAATTCAATCCATTTATCAGGATTTAGAGCTGAAAACGAAGGAGGCAACAGCAAAATTGAGTTAGTTCCTTGTTTTAACTTTAACAATGTCACAGTTAAACAAATCTTCCAGTGTTCTAATGTTACTGAAGCACTTAAACTTGACATCAAAAAGCATGAAGTCAAAGAGAAGTCTAAACGAGAGAGGGAATATACACAGATTCATAAAATAGAAAAACTCAAATATATCAATAAATTAGCTTATAAGCAGAGAAACCATGCAAATTCTCAGACAAAAGTATATACAAGTCATTCCTTCAACCTGTTACATGCAAAGAATTTCTTATATCTTATCTCTCGTTTTCCTTCATTAACTCATTTCAAATGATAGGACTTATAATTCATAAATCGAAGTCTATGAAAATGAAAGCCCGCATTTTCAACTTCCCACATAACTGCATCAACAAAAAACTTATATCACAGACCCTAAATCAAAATCAAAACTGTTGGCTTAAACAGAAAGAGAGTTTTGATTGAGTTGGTGCTCCAACCAACTCTATGAATCTCTTGACAAAAGCATAAGCTTCAGAGAGGCATGAATATAAAAACTAACCAACTTTTTTACCCGAATCTTCACTGATTTGCTCCAAGTACACCTGTATATTGGAAAATTTTCAGCTTTCTAATGAATGAAATATACAGTAGAACAATTTATGTAGGCACTCTGAAGTCACAGAAATAAAAATCATAAAGAAAAAACATCCAGTATCTAACGAGCAATAACATGATGGTTCAACATCTACTCCCGAAAGAAAATGAGAAACAAATAATCTTAAGGCGTAAAACTAGGAGAATCTAATGATTTAACTTTCATTTCCAAATCAATTAAGGCGAAAAGAAACACAAACAAGGGAAAATGCTCACAGGCACTAGTTTCAAAGCAACACACAAAAGTTGCTTTTGAATTAGCAGTCTGACTCTGGTAGTCCTTCTGATCACCAAAGAAGTGACTACATAATATGGGGTTAGTGTATGGAGATCCATTAGATCTCTGTGCTCCGAGTTTAAGGCTAACACACAGATGAAAGTGAGGAATGGAGAGAAAACAGAATTCTGGAAAGATGCTTGGCATGAGGCAGGTAGGCTAGAGGCCTTGTATCCTGATATATACTCTCTAGTGTCTCACCAACAGAAGACTATAGTAGATCACTGGACTCCTCAAGGGTGGAACTTCATCTTTAGAAGACAATTAAATGATTGGGAGATTCAAAGGGTAGCAGATTTTTTCAACAACATTGGGCAATTTAATGGACTGGAAGGAGGTCAGGACATTTTGTGGTGGAAAGGTAATCGAAATGGCAGCCTTTAAGGTGGGTTGTGCATACAACTGGTTGAACCACACCAATCAGCCTCAAAGTCACTGGCCATGGAGAGGAATCTGGAAGTCAAAAATTCCACTCAAAGTGGCATGTTTTGTTTGGTTGTTAGCCAAGGAGGCTGTACTGACTCAAGACAACTTAAAGAAAAGGGAGAGACCATTATGTTCTAGATGTTTCTTTTGTGGGGAAACTGCTGAGACAGTTAACCATCTCTTTCTACACTGCAAGATGACAAGTCAACTATGAAGGTTATTCCTGAACCTTGATGTCATGGACCATGCCTGCCAAGATCACAGAAGCAATTCAGAGTTGGGAGGAAGCAGGAAAGCAATCCAAGAATAGAGACAGATGGAGAATTGTCCCAGCTAGCATATAGTGGACAATATGGAATGAAAGGAACTCTAGAGCTTCCGATAGTGTTGAGAGTAGTATGCCAAAAGTCACACTAAATTGTCTTATGCTACTACGTTTTTGGTGTAATCAATTATACTCAAATGATACAATCTCCTTAATTGATGTACTAGACTCAGTTTAGCTAAAGATAGTAGAATTCGAAGTACATGTTGTAAATACTGATCAGTGTACTGACTTTTGTGGAATAGACAAAGTTACCATTTAAAAAAAAATGTTCAGATGTGTGTGTGTGTGTGTGTGGGGGGGGGGGGGCTCTTTTTCATTCAGGAGGCAAATCTTTCGAGTTAATATATAAAAGTGAAGATAGTGACCTATGGTTCCTATGGTTCGAGCGAGGTAGCATATTCACAAAAAGAACTAAAGTTGATGAGGAAAATATCAGATGGATATGGAAACAGATATGCTTCAGGCTTCCCGCGGTTCAGGGAATTTATTCAGGAAAGGAGGAAGATCCAAGCTTATTTGTACACAGTGTACCAAAACTACAATGTAATGGCAGATACATTAGAGTAATCACTTGGATCGGAGACAAGAATCTACTATTATTATTCCACAAAACAAAACAATTACAACAGAGGCTGAGGAAATGTTCCCTAGCTGTAATGTTTGTTCTCTTTAAAAAGAAACAAATAGAAGATTTTTGATGGGATTTCAACTCCCATCTCAGTTCTTAAGGGTAGATTCTGAGCAACATAGACATTATCCATATGAGTCACATCTTTCAACTTTGAAAAGTGAAGCTTAGTGTCTTGTCAATGTACTCTATCAAGTAGTAATATTTTTTCATAGCAAAGAAATCCCGAGGACCTGTTGGAGCACAGTTTGAAACTCGATGTAAAATGAATCCGTTCTTCTACCCTTCTCCACTTAAATACTAGCCTTTTGTGAGTTGCAGGGTTCGAACATGTGACACACATCTAATCTATACATCATACATTGTGTTAATAGTGACAAGAGAAGATAGTCTGCCAATCACAAAAAATCAACAGAAGTATCAAATCATCACGAAGATAAAAGTCAGAGAAAACAGGAAAAGATCTGACACAACAATTGGACATAAATAAAATCGGTAGAAACCCACAACAAAAACAGTCCTGAATCTTCCATAAAAATAAACACATATTACATTTAAGCTGAAAATAGAAGCTCAGATTACAAAACGTTAAAATGAGAAATGAAACATAGAATTGAAGTATACCAAATTCGCAGAAGAATGGCAGTAATAATAAGAGACGCATCCAGCAACGGCTGCAATAGCTCCAAAGGGGAAGCGAGGATCAGCAAAATTTGACTTGGAATCGCCTCGAAATGCTATGGGTGCAGCCTTGGCTAGCTTCCTCAACAACGCTGCCATTTTCACTCTCTCTCTCTCTCTTCTCTTCTCTACCTGGGGAAGAAGAAAAGGTTTAGGATTTTATGAATTGTGAATTGAGTTTTAAGTTCTTTTATTATGTTGAATCTAGAAAATGTCATAAATATTCCCCGACTATTGGAGTAGATGTAGCACTTAATTTAACTCTTCAAAACTTTATTATGTTTTATCTCTTGACAATACACTCACTGCTTATCATTTTAGTTGAAACAACTTTCACATAGCAAATATAAAATTTATATTTATATGTTATATTAAATTTTATATAATTATGATTTATACCGAACTTATATATATATAATTTTTTATCCATATACAATTGAAGCGAATTTTATAAAATGAGAAATCGAGAAATTATATACAAATTGAATTGTATAAAACGAGAAAGCAAGAAAATCAGAATTAAATTACATAAAACGAGAAAGAAAATTATATACAATTTGAATTTGTATAAAAACGAGAAAGAGAGAAAAACAAAAAGAGACTTGTGCAGAGAATATACAATTGAATCGAATTGTATGAAATGAGAAAGAGAGAAATTATATACAATTTGAATTTGTATAAAACGAGAAAGGCAAAAGAGACTTGGTCAAGGAAAAATTTGTATTGTACAATTATAAGTGTATCAGACAAACATATATGTATTTGCATGCGTTTATACAATTTTCTCTCGTTTTATACAATAAGAAACACAATTTATAAAGCGAGAGAGAAAAATGTGAGTGATAATATGATGGAGACAGGGATTGACAAACAGTTTGCTCTGGAACACAAATAAATCAAAGGGTAGCTATTATATTTATTTTATATTATTAGTTTGTCATTCTATACAATTATCCTTTTTAGTTCTTTAGCTATTTAAAAATATATCAGATTTGGTCAATATATATTTTTTATATAAATAATTTAGATTTATATTAATGGAAGTTATATTAAATTCTTAACCTATTTTCAGTTTATTCTCTCTCCTCACAATTTTTTCTTCAAATTAATTTTGGAAAAATAACTTTAACCTCAACGATGCAAAATAAAATTAATGAGGAAAGAGGATAGAAGTCTTGATTTTCTCGTAAATTTTATTTTAAATCGTTAAGGTTAATTTTTTTTCATAAGAATAATTTGAAGAAAAAGTAGCGGAGAGAGAGAAACGGCTAAATATATGGGATAAGAATTTAATTTCATGGAGGCATGGATTCCGTTAATATAATTTATGACATTTGTATTAAAAATATAAACAGAGATCAAACTTGATGTTTTCTAATACTTAAAGAACTAAATCGATATGTATAAAGTTAAGGGACCAAATCTGGTAAAACTTGGAATAGTCAAAGGACTATATTCGGTAAGATATATTTAAGGGCTATTTTAGACCTAATACAATAGTTCAAGGACTATTTGTGGCATTTTCACATGTTGAAACCTTGATTATTTTTGTGTTTAATATATTCCTCTCCACTTATATAATTCTTAGTTTGCCCTAACATGCTGTTTTGGATGATAATTTTAAAGTTTAAATTATCTAAAAATATTATTTTGAAAAAAAAAGGAAAATGCACAAGTACCCCCTCAACCTACGCCCGAAATCCCAGAGACACACTTATACTATACTAAGGTCCTATTTCCCCTTGAACTTATTTTATAATTAATTTTCTACCCCCTTTTCGGCCAACGTGGCACTAGCTTGAAAAAAAGGTCAATCAGCGTTGGGCCCACAAGATAGTGCCGCATAGGGCAAAAAGGGATAGAAAATTATTAATAAAATAACTTCAGGGGGTAATAGAACCTTAGTATAGTATAAGTGTGTCTCTGAAATTTTGGGCATAGGTTGAGGGGGTATTTGTGCATTATCCCAAAAAAAAAGTAAAACTTGACTTATAAATTTAAATTTTGTAAAAGTAAAAAATTCATCTTTTTAAATTTTATAAAAATGATTCATGCTCATCATGAAGAGATTATTTGTACCATTTAATGAATTATATTAATATAGTTAGTTACTGTTGTTGTTGACTAGAGTATCTTTTTAAAATTATACGTATTAGAAATTTGTATACACAAAAAAATTACCAATTTTCAAAAAAAATTGTAAACACAACCATCTATATATAAAAGAAACATGGAGATATGTAATTTATCAATGAGACGCTTCCAATACTGGAGCTACTAGCTTTTTATTCCATGTCATAAGTTTGTACAAAATAGGCAACAAAGCCTAGAAATTGAAACAAACAACAAAAATAGAATGACTCAATCCACTAAAATATCTCACGTACTTTTACAAGCAACACCATAAAAAATAGGGTTACCAGATTGATCTCCTTTATATATTTTTTTATGTCTCCGCTTGGAGTTCTTTCTAATTCTACATTCCTCTTCCTTTTGATATGGATCATTAACACTTTCCTCTTGAATGTCTTGATAACTATTTTTCTTAGCTCGCAGAGGTTGTCTCCTTTTATATCGTGATCTTCTTTCTTACTAGCTTTGAACTCTAACTTTCTATTTCTATTGTAGAGATATTATCATGTGGAATGGTGAATATATACCATGGTGGTTCTGATAGAGGTGTCTTGTTTGTTGATTGAGCTCGCAACTACCTGTAAGTGACGCTTTTCCTTCTCCGCTTTTCCTTTTTTGTTGTCATACCTCTAATTGCCTCTTCTTAAGCTAAAGTGGCAGTAGAGATACCAAAATATTCATGTTCTTTTTCCTAGTAGAGTTCTTTCTCAACACTGATCTATGAAACTCAATCTTACTTTTGGGCCCTCGCTTTTTGCTAAAGAAACTTTTTATAAGCTAACATAGTTATAGTTTAGACTAGAGAGCTTAGTGCTCACAGTGATGCATGCCTAGTAATGGCAAAAGGATTTTATGTATATACCATAATTGTGAGATCTGTCAATGGTTGTTCTTTTGTAATTATGCTTGCTCATATTGTTGTTGAAGACTTCTAGCCTTTCTTGTTTTAATCCTCAATGTTGATATCTCTGATTTGTTCGTGTTTTAAATCTTTTTTAAATCTGTTGTAACTGTTGAAAACTGTGTTATTGTGTTATCTCATGCTTTTCATATGCCTCATTTGCCAACTTATTTGCTAATTGATTAGCTTCCCTGAAAACATGTTTAATTCTTGCATGTAATGCCTCTACTAGTTTCTGAATTTCCTCTATCTCTTATGTGTGTTGTCACTGTACTCTTCATTCCCTCCTAATCATTTTTCTAAGCTTAGTAATTTGTTTCTACAATCACATTAGTCATATTGGCTTTTTGGCAGTGTTATAGCGTTTTTAGTATAGTCCTAGTTTAAGCCTCCATGATATCTCCTACTCCTATTCTTTGTGCCTATGGATTTACTAAATTCCCCTGATCATTCCTCATACAAAAGTTGTATGTACTTTCCTCTGGTTGCCTCTACTTGACCCATCAGTGTTGCAATCTATCCAACCCGATTGAAAATATACTCCCCTTCGATTCTTCCCTTCCGCCATGTAAACCTATTGCCACAAGTTTTCAGTTCTATTGATGCACAATTGTTTAGGACAAACTTTATCACCTCATAAGGAGTAAAATCCAAGCCCACTTGCTTCTCTTCAGCATTTTGAATTACGTTAAAGTTACCCCCACAAGCCATGGATTATTATTTTCTATATCTATAAACTCCAGCTCTTCCCATAATTCTAATCTTTCGAGGGCATTACATCTGAAATACAAGCATTTTATACTACTTTCCTTAGATTCATTGTTAGTTGTTGTCCATTGTCTCTTATCACCTCACCGATCCATTCTTCTTCCCAAAAGATCTACATTTTTTTGTTGTATAATTGCAATATGTATTCCCCATTTCCAATTCCCTTTTGTAGTGTTCTAGTTCTTGTGGGCCTTGGAAAGGTTCCATAAGAGATATGTAATTGTATTTGTGCGTCCTATTTAGTTCCATTAGTCTATCAAAAGCTTTTTGAGACCTAAAAAAACTAATGTTCCAAAATATGGTTTTCCCAATCATTGATAAACACGTGTGGTCTTTCATTGCTACTCCTTGTTTTCACTTGTAACGAAAGTGAAGGTTGACATGATTTACTTCTTTTGCCTCCACTTTCGATGAATTTCCTTGGCAAAAAATCACCATCTCTCGATACTTTGTCGATATTTTCCTCTATTTCTTCAATCTTATCCATGTCCTTTTTTCATTGCTTCTCTTTCTTTGTGATCTCTCTAAATATGGCATTTTTTTTTGTTCTGTGTTTCTTCTATTTTTCCTTTCTTGGAGCATGCCTCCTCCTCTTTTTCATTTGATTCTATTTCATTCTCCTTATCCCATCCTTTTACCTCTATATTGCCGCCACTAGCATCTCTATCAATTGTATTTCAACACTCATTCTCTTATCCTTATCTATGAGCTCCATCTCAACTGGCATTGATGAGGACTTCTTGTTTTATATTGTTACCATTTATGCTTCCCCCCCCCCCCCTCCTTTGTTCTTTGATCCTCTAATTAGTGTTGTATTCTTACCGATAAAGATTTTCTCTATCCATTTTTTTTGTATTCCACCTTGCCCATTTGTAACTATGCATCTTATATTTCTACACCATCTTCCTGGCCATCTAGCGCCCCAATTTTTTTTATATATTAATCCCCTATCATTCATGTTGATTAATTTTTTTGTTCCATACTTTTTCTACTTTTCCTCTTCCATGTTTTGTCCAGGCTCCTCCCCTTGTGATTCTTCTCTTTGCCATCCCCCGTCCCTTCCTTTGTTGTTGTTCCTCTGTCATGGTGTCATACACTCCTCTGTTTTTCCTCCCATTTTCTCTCTTTAAGTGTCTTCTTACCCCGTCTCTTTCTTCGAATATTATTTTTGATTAATAACATAACACTCTACTTTATTATGTCCTTGAATTCTACAAATCTTGCAGTATTTCGACATATAATCTTATTTACTACCGATCCATTTTCAAGCATCTCTATTGATTTTTTCCTCATACCAACATTGATTTTTTTTTGGAGGGGGGATCACCCAATAAATCCACATCCATCTTTACTCTTGCACAACTAGGTCGTGTTCGATGCTTTGTA